GGAATGGCTTAGGGACAACTCTGTGAATGTCCTAGAGTGGCCCAGCAAGAGCCCTGACTTGCACCCTATGAACATCTCTGGAGAGACCTGACAATGGCTGTCCACCGACGGTCCCCATCCAACCTAATTGAGCTTGAGAGGATTTGCAAAGAAGAATGGCAGAAAATCCCCCAATCCAGGAGTGCAAAGCCTATTGCGTCATACCGAAAAAGACTCGAGGCTGTAATTGCTGCCAAAGGTGCTTCAACAAAGTACTGAGTAAAGGGTCTGAATACTTATGCCAATGTGATATTTCAGTTTTTCTTTTTTAATAAATTTACAGACATTTCTAAAATTCTGTTTTCACTTCGTCATTATGGAGTAGAAGGTGCTTCAACAAAGTACTGAGTAAAGGGTCTGAATACTTATGCCAATGTGATATTTCAGTTTTTCTTTTTTAATAAATTTACAGACATTTCTAAAATTCTGTTTTCACTTCGTCATTATGGAGTAGTGTATGAGTGTAGATTAATGAGGAAAAAAATGAATTTGAACAATTGTGGTATGAGAGTGCAACATAACAAAATTGAAAAAAGTGAAGCGGGTCTGAATACTTTCCAAGTGCACTGTATGTATGTAATACTGGTGGAAACTAATTACTCAGATATCTTATTAATTATTTTTGTGCCAATTCTTAAAGTACTAGGGGTTCATTTTAATCATCCAAAAATAAAAAAAATGTTCTAAAGCAGGGATTTGGAATATTTTTTCAAATATGCTTCAAGGATGAAGCAATATGTATTACTGTGGCAGAGATTCTGTGATATCTTACAGTAATATTTTGTAGTGATCATATTATAGTACTGCATGATACTTATTAGTAAACCTTAGACTATGGATAAATATAATATATAAGGTAGGGATTTTTTTCCCTTTTCTCTCTTTATTTGGGTTTTTCTTCTCAAAGTTTAAAGTTTAAATGTTGTTTTGTTAATTGTGTGTGGGCTTTTTTTAGTGTACTAAGGTGTTTTGTCATTTTTTTCTTGCAATTTGTAAATAAAATGTATTAAATAAAAATTAAAACCCCCAATATTTCTTGATATTACCTTGTAGCTAACCTCCCAAGGCCATATGACAGCCACAAGTAACATGAATATACTATTATTTAGCTCCTTTGCCTTCATCATTCTTAGATAGTCAGGGTTACATCATGAACAGACTACCATAATCCATTCTACCTGAGGACATCCTTGAAGAGCATTTGGAATGTCAACTGCTAAAAATGTGTCAGCTAAGATTGCCAATGAACACACAGTAGCATGATCACATCACAACATACTGCATGTTGCCAACTGCTTTCTACACTCAATTCAGTAACTGCCTTAGAACCTGAATGTGACTGAAGTTCTTTAGCTTTGCCAGTTAAAACACAGATCCTGAACTCTTTCTTGGTTAGTATAATATCACAATTTCCCTTGCCAGCTCCCACAGTTTACCTACTGCAGACCATAAAACCTTGGAAGTTCCCAATGTTCATCTTTAAAACTGAGATTTAAATACACAAAACATTTCTATTGAAGAAAAACATACTGGCCATCATGTATTTGGTGCTATCACACTGACTTATTTA